TTTAAGATTAAAATTAAAATAAAAAAATAAAATAAAATAATTAAAAAAAAATAATTTAAAAAATTAATATAATTAATAAGAAAAAATTTATTTAATTCTTTATTAAAAAATTTTAGAATTACTTGAAAAAGACTATAAAAATTCAAGCTTACTTTTAATCATTATAAACATTAAAATAAACATTTTTTTAAAAGCAACAATATGGTATTGTTGCACGTTACTAGTCAAATTATAAAATATAATATTTTTAAATGTGATGAATACATATAAACATAAAATAAAAAAACAAATTAAAAAACACTTTACAAACCTGAAGTACTGACAGAGGTACTAAAATACATAAAAAAAAGTTCTTACTATTATTAAAATATGAACTAAAATGCTCACATTAAGTATTATTACAAGGGTGAACAGAAGAAACCGTAAAATAGCTATAGAAAGTTCTCACACTTTATTATAGGCGTCTTTTATTCTCGAAAATTTCTCTTTAAATCCATAGAATAAGCACACGGAGAATAAAATACGAGTATACTATAATCTTAAAAGCAATCGAAGCGACTTTGTGAAAAAAAAGCACGGATCGTCGGAAAGTACGCCATTATCGTGAGAGATTTCCGTTTGGACTTCCAAGAGAACTCGTAGCGGCCACCGCGACGCTCGATATTCAAGCACCAAAGCGTCACTTCACTTCACATAATTCACTTTTCCTTTGTATATTTTGTATAAACGTGACCCAAAATTTATATTATTCAATAGATGTAGTTATATGTTCATGTTTTATCGAAAAACCACCCTTGTTTGCGCGCGCGTATATAAGAATTTCACCGACGGTGGCTGCGGCTGCGGCTGCGGCGCGAACCGTCGAGGTGCAAGCGTGTCTATAGGTCCAAATCATTCTACATATCTCTGCCCCCTCCCCTCTTTTTTCCTTCAGTACAGTTCACAACGAAGGACTACTCTTCTCTCTTATCCTACCCTATCCCATCCTGTCCTGTCCTGTACGATGGAGACCATTACACACACTAGTTAGAAATCGTAACATCTGTAGAAACTTATACAGCTACCTTTCACGTCATGCGCGCACACTCACTCACTGCACCACCTGGTGGCGCGCGCATCTCTCTTTGCCACTTAAAAACCTCCGTGCACACGCGTATGTGATATATATGAAAAAAAGAAATGTATTACATTTAAATTAGATAAATTTTTAATTTAACATTCTAAAAAAAAATTACATAAGAGTAATAAAATTGATAATATATTAAATAAATATAAACGTGTGTAATATCTAACATTAATTATATTTATATTTTAATATAAATATCTTTATATCTTTGCAATTTATTATTAATAGAAGAGAATATTAATGAAATAATGAAATAATGAAAAAAAGAAAACATGTATGAGAAAAACATACATAAATTAGAATGTAAAATAATTAAATAACAGATTTTTTATGTTATAGTATTTTATGTTTATAGTATTCTTGTATTATTGTATAATTGTATAATTAAATATTAAACAACTGAATAATTACTATGTTTTAATTTTTTTTATTATATAATAATTTTTTTTATTTTCATAAATAAAATATAATTTTTTAATAAT